TTCTGGATTTTCTCTGGAAGTAGCCTAGAACAAGTCTATTTTGACTATAGAAAGGTTTACATTAAAGATAATGATGTAAGTGGGGTAGAACTTGTCTCTCTTGCGAGACCTGCTTATGGGAATTTTATTAGGTGTCATAATGGAAAGAGTCTTTTGTTTTTGGCAAACAAATCTTTTGTGTCTACTAACTGGATAAAAGGCAGTAATTTTGCAACACCTCAATGTGTTAGACTGGAACTTGTTTATGGAGACCTGGGAATGTTTTGACAATGGTTGGGACATTAGGTAGTTCTGTCACCTATGTTTTTTTTTTTAATGAAAATAAAATTGCTCCAAAGGATCATGATGAAATATTTGTGACAGCTGTGTAAGAACACACAGCTGTGTAACACCTGTGTAAGAAGTTAAGGATGTTGCAGATATAGGAAGGACACATCTGCCAGTAAARAGGTGCATAGCTACAGGTGTAAGGTGCTCCAAATGTGAACTTTCTGTCAATAGGTGAATGTGGCAGGTGGTTTGGAGTATGAAAGAACGTGTTCTTTTTTTTATATATATATATAAATATATATTCAGATTCACAGTCACATTCGAGCGTTAAAGATCCCGAGGCCAGTTTGCTGCCGAGCCCCAGCCTGCTCAGGAGAAGGGGCCCGCAGAGTGCTCACAGTGGAAGCAGTCTGGGTGGCCAGAGAGCAACTGGGCAACTCTAGAAAACCATTACAGCAATGTGGAACACAGCTTCTCCAGCAGGATGGATACGAGAGTCGAGCGCTGAGGGGGAGGTGGTGGAATACGGTGCCTTGTCTCAGCAAGCTCCTGTTCTCCATTCCCTACCCCAGGTTCTCATAGCTGTGTGGTACTAAGCAGCAAGTCTTCTTAAAGCCTGAGCTTATCCAAGAAAATCTGTGTCAGCTAAACTGATTCTGGAGGCTTAAACAGAGATCTTTACCTTTTGTTCTCACTCTTTTTTTTTTTTTTACTTTTGTGTCAGAAAGGAAAAAAAAAAAAAGAGCGAGAAATTAAGAGAACAGGTAAGTATTATTGCATGCACAAATTACCAAAATCTTTATGGTTTCTAATTGACACTAAACATGAAAATGACTTCCCACACTTACTGCTATATGATCCTGGGCTGATGAAGCTTGAAACCTATATGCAAAACCAAGAGAGCAAAACCTGCCTTCCTTTTCTGCAGAACACTGATACTGTGAATGGACAATTGAAGGTAGCTGAATGATATTCAATCTTTGACTTGYAAGAGTGAATCACATCAGACAGAAACCTGCAATTGTGTTAAAAATTATGTTAATAACAGCTATTCTCAAGCTGCACTGTATAGATGAACCAACATTTCTTAGTTAAAGAGAGGGAAAAAAGGAAGAAAAAACGGTTTAATCCCTTTTAAGACTTGATAGAATATCAGCATCATTCTAGCATTCAGCATCCTCCAGGATGAACTTGGCCTGTCTGTTAGCATTATTGTTGAAGGAAGATTTTAAASATCTACAGGCACTGGAGAATATACATAACCCTTGATATAAAGTCAATTGTTCTTGTTCTAAGAAAAAAGTCAAGCTGTTAAAACTACCGTTCTATTTTAAGTTTTTCTGACTTCATCTACCAAGCGTTTGGTTTAATTAAGCCATTATTKGTAGAATAGACCTTAAGAAAAGTCATGACTTAACGTCCTCTTGATAAACCTGATGGATTTTGTCAGGCCAAATTCAGGAATTAATCCTTTTTCAGGAAAGTGCTTAAATGTAGGTTTAATTTGAAATCAGCAGAAGTTAAACATGTTGATCGACAACATAATTTTAAGTATTTCCTTGCTTAGGACCTCATTTTCATCCTGTGAATTTTGCAGGCCCTCAGAGTGGCTTTCTGAGCTTTTCTGTGGCCTTACCAGCTACAGGAAGAGCTCTACTAGCAGCTGAATGGTATTAGCTACTTTTTGCAGGGTCTACCGCTCCTCGTAACTGCTGCACTCCCAGGATGGCTGCAAATTACTGGCATGTCACAGATGTGGAATGTCACAGATGCCGGCGCACTGCTCTGTTATGTCGTTATCATGGACCCCTCAGCTAGTTTACTTCACCCACAGCAGTCGAGTTCTCAGGCTGCAGTCCATGCTCATGCCGTGCGCACGGCTCCTGCTGTGTTTTCACATGCCATATTTGCACTTTTTCATTCACACATTCTTGCTGTGCAGTTATCTTTCCGAGGCTGCTSTAAGTCACACCACAGGTATCTTGTGCCCAGATGCCTGTGTCATTCACTCCTTTGAGAACCTGAAAACTCTTAAGTTGTAGGCAGCTAACCACACTTACAAATCATAGTTTCTCTTCCAAAATGGTGTGTGCCCACACCTAGCTATCAGTTTCATCATAACGAGATCTCCATTTGATAGCTAGGCTTCCTGTTTTTTCAAGAGCATTGGCTTTTATAGCATTACCTGTCATCTATCTTCATAGCTTTGCTCATTTTGTAGAAATGATTTTATTTTTCAAGTGAATACCTCAGTCCTGCAARCAGAGGTAAAGTTCTATTTTTATTGCCTGTATAGCCGAGAAATATGTCCTTCTGTCCTCAACGTACTGCTATTTAGCACTATTAATCTCCCACATCAGTTTCAAAATTAGTGATTTTTAGACTACAGGTAGCTTTTTGTTTGAATGCAATCTATAGTTTTTATGCCTAGATATATCACTTTGCCTTTGGCTGCATGCAGTCAATTAAATGTTGTTAACCAAAGTTTAATAAAGTGTAATAAAGACCAAGATTCAAACATGACATTTCTGTTATAGCTTGGATCTTCCATATAGCTACTAGTTGTATGTTGTCTGAAAACTTGTAAACAGAATTAAAATTTTATGTGGAAGTATTTTTCTTCTTGATGGTCGTTTGGCTTCCTGAGAAGTACCATGTCTGATGAGYTTGAGTTAATTAATGTAATTAGAAGATTTTAAGGCAAAATATGAATATCTTGGGGAATATTAAAATGTGACACAAATTTACTGCTATTATATTGATGTAAATTGATACAATTTTGTTTTCTAACAAATCAATTTCAGAGCATGACTAGCCTGCCTGAAATTTTCTTTTGTTTCTAAAAAGAATGAATTTAATTTACTTGATTTTCCAGTGTTTTTGCTGTGAGTATCCTGAGAGCATCTTCAAAGTGTATCTCGTAACTATGAAGTGGATTTCTTTGCTTAATATATTATCAGTTCTGAATTCAGTTAAAAATCAATCTAAAAGGAAGCAAAGTTGAAGGTGTTGCAGATTTCTATTGCAAATAAGTAGGTCCAAAAATCACCTACTACTATCAAAACACAACCTTAAAAAGGAAAACCGCCGATAATTGCAAGAATCTCCATGCCCTGTACTTTGATTGAACAAAATGTTAGCTAGGAAGGCAATACCTCTTCAAGTGCAAGAGAGGAAATAAAAGCTACGTGAATTTAATTGTAACTGAAAAGTTTTTTAAAAAGGGGAGATTAAGGAAAGACCATTATAATGACCCAAGAATTTAAAGATTTTTCAAGATTTCATATTTTGAACAGCAATGATTTGATTATGATACTTACCATAGACTCGTGGAATCATTATGGTTGGAAAAGACCTTCAAGATCATGAAGTCCAACACCCAACTTGCTAAACTTTGTCCCTAAGTGTCTCATCTGCATGTTTCTTGAACATTGTCACATACACTGGAGGGCTGTGCTGCCATTCAGAGAGGCCTGGACTGTCTGGAGAAATGGGCAGAGGGGAACCTCATGAAGTTCAACCACGGCAAGTGCAGGGTTCTACATCTGGGAAGGAACAACTGCAGGCACCAGTACAGGCTGGGGACTGACCTGTTGGAGAGCAGCTCTACAGAGAAGGACCTGAGTGTCCTGTTGGACAAAAGTAGAGCAGGAGCCAGCAATGTGCCCTTGGGGGCTAATGATATCCAGAGTGCATTAGGAGGAAGAATGTTGCCAGTAGGCCAAGGGATGAGATCCCTCCCTCTACTGAGCCCTGGCGAGGCCGTATCTATAGTACGTGTCTAGAGCCCAGTTCTGGGCTCCCCACTACAAGAGGGATGTAGAGCTATTCAAGAGAGTCCAATACCGAGCTACAAATATGATTAAGAGACTGGAATGTCTCTCATATAAGGAGAGGATGAGAGACTGGGCCTCTTCAGCCTACACAAGACTGACAGGGGATCTCATTGGTGTGTACAACATCTTAAGGGAAGATGTGGAGAGGACAGGGTCAGACTATTTTCAGTAGTGACCAGTGATAGGGTGAGAGGCAATTGGCACAAACAGAAGCACAGGATGTTCCATCTGAATTTGAAGAAAAACTTGACTGTGAGGGTCACAGGGAACTTAATAAGGTTGCCCAGAGAGGATGTGGAGTTTCCTTCTCTGGCAATATTCAAAGCAAATCTGAACACAATCCTACAAAATGTGCTCTAGGGAACTCTGCTTGTGCCGGATGGTTGGACTAGATGAACCCTAAAGACCTCTTCCAATCTTAATCATCCTGTGAGTTCTCCATCTGATCTGAGTCAGTCATGCTAGCCCGTCTTTAAACTTGATGGAGAGAAAGAGGCACTAATAGGGCATGAGTTATCTCACTGTGAAATGCCATATTGCTAATATCTAAGTTTGAGTGGGACATATTCCAGCTAGTGAGCTTTCAAAGGGGAGCTTTAATCAGTGAATGCCTCTGTGCCCCTTTCCCCCTCAGCTTAAAACACAAGCAACGCTTGCTTTCGTTGCTCCTACGTCACTCAAGAATTCACCGACCATGTATCTGGGTAGTACAGAAGGCACCCCTGAAAGGAATCTGTAAAGAGTAATAAATGATAAATTCATTAAGTAAATGATAAATTCATTAAGTAAAATAATGTTTATTCAACAAAATGAAACAAAATGAAGAGTGGAAAGTGTTATCTTCTGCAACAATCAGCTTCAACTATTACAAGTAACAGGAGTTAGACCCAGAAAGGACTACATTATGTCAAGATAGGCTAAGCAACAAGTTCCCAGTGAAATGTCCCATGACTGTAAGATGCTTTGGGCCAGAAGATATTCTATGTTCTCTCCTGTTCCATGCCTAGCTTTATTGCTTTATTGCTTTATTACGTGTTCAAAGAGAGTTTTTTTTTTTTTAATTTCTAAAAATAACTTCTCAACACAAGTCCTTTGTTTTGGTAAGAATTATACCACGAGAATTCTAAAAGACTTTTTCTGCAAAAATATATACATATATTTTTAAGATAATTTCTTAACCAGTATATGTTACCTGGGAAAATTTTGATGGGAGTTGAAATCATTTATATGATCACTAAAAATCATTATAAATACTGTATCTTGAAGAAGTTTAACTGACGCTTCAGCGAATGCTGTAAGATAACATCAGGACAGTGTGTGTAGGGTGGGAGAGCATAAGGGTGGGTGGAGAGCAGTATGAAGAAGCTGTATCACAAGCTCTTGACTATTCCTATCAATGTGACACTTTTAAAATTTTCAATACATTAAGATGCATTTCCTCAACTGAGTCCATCATTCTGATAGTGCAACAAGGTTTTGCATGTCAAAGCATGTTAGAGAACAACTGCTCAGTCTTCCATTTTTACATGCAGTTCCCATTGTTCCCTGAATCGCAGAAGACACATTTCTTGGTCCTCAGATGTTTCATCAGATATCTGTTTCTTATACAGTCTGGACAAAATTCCCTCTTTGTCAGGAGCATCACAATGAAAGACAGCTTCACATGCCTCATTTTCAATACTAGACAAAGTAGGAATGTATAGTCTTCCAGTGTGAGGATCCCAGTCTACTAATATGGTCTGTTCATTCTCCTTCTCTTGATGAGGGTCTTTTGATGCAGATGGATGCTGGAGGCTCCGTGCTATTGTTTTTAGAGGATAGGATGTCTGCCCAGATTTTTCAGTATCCAAGTCCACCAAATTGATACATGCCTCATTCAGCAATTTATCTGCTGCAGGAACCATCTTCAAATCCAGTTCCTCCAGGTTCTGTTCCAAGCAAGGATCTGCTGTCATCATCTCCAGTTGAGGACAGTATGGCTGCCCTACTTCACTGTTAGCCAAGCTCTCCACCAGGTGTGACTCACCTTGCAGTTCCCTAGGGGCAGAAGACTTCTCTTTCAAACAGAGTTCCATCAGTTTCTGACCAGGAGTGAAGTCTTCAGCCCTTACATCAAGTCCATACTCTATATTCCCTTCATTTTTTTGGCCCATAGTATTCTTAGGTCCAGCCTGGCCATAAAGTGACCAGTTCCTAGTTTGGTGCTCTTTTGAGAAAATATCCACTTCATGTGAAATATTGAGCAACTCTATTGTTTCCTGCATTACTTTTGGAGACAAATCCTTCTGTACAGTGTCACTGTAAATGGTATAATAACGGGGACCTTTCCCTTCTGACAGATGAATGGATTCCTGAGATGCCTTGTACTCATCCACATTAATAGTGATAAGGTTGACCACTATTTTTTCACAAGGTATAAAAACACTGTCCTTGCATTTGTCAGTATAGTGCCATACCTGGAAAGCAAAAATGTTTCAATTTGAACAACACATGATAAAAATACAATCACCATTTCTTATAGTGTTGTTTATCAGTGAAATCTATTTTTAAACTATAAGGCTGGGTCATATCTTTTTAAGTCAGTAAGTCAGTTAAGTCAGTTTAGAGGAAAAAAAAAGTTCTGCATATGTACCTCCAGGAGTGTGTCAATGTGCTCCACTTTTTTAAAAATTATTATTCTATAGTAAGTAAAAACATATTATGACCAGCTCTAATTTCCATTTTCTCATCTTACCCATGTCAAAGTATTTTTTTTTTGTCTAAATCTGCATATGACTAGCACAAACTCAAGTGATTTCAGAGAAAACATCTCAGTTGCCCTTGGGTCACAGATTACAGCATCTATGCCACTCTAATCGGTGAAGAGGAAGTGTAGATGAAACCACATCCCACAAGCACAGAATCAGCTACTGTGTTAAAGTATAACTTGCACAGGAATGAGTAAAGCAGGTTTCCTTTCAAAGGGGAAAGCTATACATTAAGGTTGAAATGCTTTGTATGGAGCCTGCATTATGGATTCTGTCCCAGGCTGGGATTTGAGAGTCAGGGGTAAATCACATACCTAGTTAAACAAAAAGAATCTCACTGAAATTAATAGTATTTCTGACAGAACGATATATGGTATGAGCAGTTACTAAAATCCCAGAAGTAGCATTTGAAGCTATTTTGAAGCTTGAATGAAAAACTAAGACCAGAAATCTATATACTAAGCAGCCTGAAACACCTCCCAGGTTAGACGTGCTGGACCAGAGCAACTTGCTTATTTCACTTCCCCTTGGCCACAGGCGCTAGTCACATGAAATAGTCACATGAGATAGTTTGCAGCGTAGCAAAAAAACCCAATCATCGAAATGTCAGGTTCACGTGGCGCTCATTTCTTTGTTCCACCTTTGTGCTATGTGTGGTTTCCTTCCAGCTGACTCAGAGCTCTACTGCACATGCCAAGGTTGGCAACATCAGCAGCAGTGTAGGACACTTACCAGGTTTGTTGGATGTTTCTGTTTGCTGACGTGAATATACCTGTGCACATAATAACATGCCATGGAAATAAAAAGGACAGCCAGAGTGATAGGCAGAACATATCCAAATAGGTTTGTTATGATCTGATCTGCTGTTTTATCTGTTAAAAAAAAAAAAAAAGTTTTAATTATCCATTAATGTAGCAACTTTTTAACATTCACATAGTACTACATGCATTCAGCACATCATTGCTTTTTAGCTATGGGATGCAAATGTTTTAGACATTAAACAAGGAATCTGCAGACAATTACAATGCTGACATTTGAGCTAGAGGACAAATTTGTATACTATAATAATTCTAAAAAGAAGCAATAACTCTGTTAACCCCCTCTCACAGACTCTCATCTTCCTTACTTCTCCCCACTCTAAATGACCCAACTGTGTCACTCCCGAACCTCGTGTTGGGGAAAAAAATATTCTCCGTTCATGAAGACTTAAAGAACCTGGATCTTTCTCTTCAGAGGTACTGCCATAGTGAGCGCCTGCTAACTCGAAGATTTTTTTAAAGTGAAATGTATATTTTCTTTGGTGCAATTGCATAGTGGGGACAAAACCATATGAGCTTTTCAGCCTCCGAATGGACACATCAAGAACTTCCAACCTCAGTGACCCTGACTTTTTGAAACTTGGATCTCATTTCCATCATTTGCCAGCCCGCACATACCTTTCAGAGTAGCAATGCAATACTCCTTGGAAAATGCACTGTGCAAAAGCGGCGTAGTGACATGTATCTGTGCGCTGACACAATAAACTGTGCCAGGTTCCAACCAGGGCACCACCAAAGTGGTGTTGCTGACAGAGAACCACCACTAGAAGGCATAAGAAAGATTCGTCCCTTTAATACCTCAGTTTACAGAAAGATAAGATGTTTTATATACAAGATGTTACAAAATGTTATACAAAGTGTTTCACAAGCACTTTTTCTTTTCTGGAAAATGCAATGGTGCTGGCAAGAACTGCCAGATGATTTATGTTTTTCCTAAATGCAGTCAAAATTCAAGTGATTTATTAGGTCACATCCTCTTTCAATATTTTATTTTCCTTTCAATAATTCTGCTACCACTATTAAACAATTTTATATGTTCTATGAAAGAGAATCATGGGCTATCACTAGCCCACAAACTCATGCAGATGCAATAAAAGATAAATTGTTACCAACAGAAGGCACTGGTAAAGACAGGAGCCTTAAGATAACAGCAATAGCTATACAGACCTTTGAGTCCCAGATAATTGTTCTATGTCAAGCATCTTAATAATAAATAAAGAAATAAGCCAACTTTGTAAGCTTCTAATTTCTTATTTTGGCATTTAAATATCCCTTTTTATGAGACCTTTTTGATGTGAATATTCTATTTCTTGTCAGTTCAGTGAAAGTGTCTGGGGGACAGGGATAGAAGATTGTCCTTGCATCCAATCACTGGATTCTTCCTCATCTCCAAGGTTTACACTGGAAACTAGTCTCTGATACGGAAGGTAAATTTGAAAGGACAGATGCATGAAGACATTCAGCTGTGGTGGGAAAGGGTGCAGTTGGTAGTGATGTCCTGCAAGTAGCCAGCAGCCTGATGTGCTGGGGAGCAGCTCAGCTGAAGAGGGCCTGGGGGCAGGCACCATGCTGCACGAGGGCAGCCGTGCCCAGGCAGCAACAGCATCTGGGCTGGATTAACATTCAGCCCAGCAGATAAGCAATTAACCTGCTTTATTCAGCACTTACTAGATCACATCTAGGATACCCCATCCAGTTTGGGCTCCCTGGTAGAGGTGGTCATGGACAAACCAGAGAGGGTTTAGCAAAGGACCATCAAAACGGCCAGGGGTTGGAGCACTTGCTCAGTGAAAGGAAGCAGAGAAGTTTGGGCTAGTGCAGACTGGAGAAGAAATGGCTGTGAAAAGGACCTCATAGCAGCCCCCTGGAACCTACCTAGGATCCCAAGTCATCAAGAACAGGGTCAGGCTCTTCACAGTGCTAAACAGCAGAAGGATGAGAAACAAGGGGTAAAGGCTGAAACAGGAAGACCAGACTGGATGCAAGGAAACACTTGACTGTCCTCATGGGGGAAAAGAAGTGATGCAGATTGTGCAGCCTCTATGCTTGGAGTTTTGAAGACCTGACTGGATGAAGCCTGGATGAAGTCAAGCTGGTCTGAGCTCAGGGCTGACCCTGCTTTGAGAAGGAACTGGAGTAGAGACTGCTGAGGTCTCGATTCCAGCCTGAACGATCCTACAGTTCCTATCATCCCTTGAATCTTATTTCAATTATTTCTATTGTGAACAAAACACATTCCAATAAAGGCAGAAGACAGATTTAATAGCTACAGTTCCATAGCCTTTTCAAAACTTACCCGTTTCTTTGTTTTTTTGTTGAGGACGGACACATTGTATTGCAGGCCAGGATATACCTGAGCCAGAGATATGGATTCTTCCTCAGGACTTCCCTTCCACTTCTCTGGAGCTGTCAGAATGATTGAAATAGATTTCTCCGTAGAAGATATGCTTACCATGGGTGGATCAATTTTAGCTGGAAGAATAAGTATTTATATAAAGCCATTTCATGCAGCAGAGTCGCATTAATTTGACTATGAAGTTTCTTAAAGTGATTGATGTTACCCTTTGATAGTATTTTGCAGAGTCTAAGTAGTACTTAGAAGTACAATTCATTTATTTTAATAAAAAATTATTTCCAGATACCTACGAAAAGTTTCACATCAACAATGTGAACTCTGACTTGGAATTCTGCTAGAAATTCCTATGATTTAACAGAACATAAAACCTTGCAACTCCATTTGCTAAAATAAGCTAAATTACCAGAGTGCTTCTGGATTATGTGGCACCGCTGAGAAATACTGTGCTCTAGAGTATGGTTTTATTACAACAACCATTATGTTTAACCATTATGGTCTTCTAAAAAAATTCTTTATACACAGCTACTTTTTCTTTTTTTTGATTGAAGCCTTATGAAATCATAAAACAGTACTCAATATACAGAAGACTTTTCAAATATATTAATTTAATATGCATATTCAAATTCTAATAAGATTATTTCAACTACAGTTGCCAGCAACACAAACCTCAAATAAGAGTACAAAATTATGTGCTTTCACTAACAGCAAAACAGCATATGCTATGCAGGCACAGGCACACTAGGAATGCAGTACTAATCCAGATTGGGAACATCTGTCTTTGGGATTAGYTTTCCTTACTCTCTGTGAGAGGGTTGAATCGGGCAGTCTCCGTCCAGTCGGAGCACACGCCGTGCAGGAAGGCTTTCACACTCGCATAGTACTGTTCTTCATAGTCAGCTGTCTCGCTCGAGAGGTCGCACCACGTTCTGCTGATATTCCTGCATTCTGATTTTCTTATCCATTTGCCAACACCGTATCTATTTTAAAACAGAAAGAGAAAGGAGCTGTACAGAAACCATCACCATGGTATTAGTCATCTGATAAGATACACAYAGGAATTGATACTAGAGCTAAGAACATAGTTTGCCTGCAAAAATTTGCAATTTCAAGAAATTACCAACTTCAATTGAGAAAAAATACAAGATTTACCCTTTTTTTTTTTTTTTAAATAAAAATCACTATAAATCCTCTCCAGAAGAGACAATAAGGAACTAACTAGAATGCTAGAGATGCTGGTGTTTTGCCTGCACAGATGAGAGATCTCTGCACATTTTCCACACCTTCAGTTTAAACACTACACAGAGGAGAAGCGAGTCAGGTGTATTGGCTATCATTCTGTCCCATGGGACTATTTATACAATGTCAAATATTTTTATCAAGAACTTACTAGCCAAAATGGCCAATGGCTCTGTTTGGAATATGAAAACAAATGCTCAGGGGTCTCCAAATACCTGTATAGGAGACCACTTATCTGTAACCTTCAAGCTGTTCATTACTTCCCTCTTCGGACAAAGCAAAAAATCCATGTGAAGTGCAATAACTTCAAAACCCTTTGAAGTGCTGAAGCAGAGGCACACACATACTACCTACAGTGCTCGTCTACTGACAAATTTTTATATTCTGCTAGAAGAATTCAAGGTTTTGTTGAAAAATTCCTGCCTAGGTTTGCTCAGGAGCTCCTATTCATATAGAGCTCAGGAGCTCAAATTGATATTGTGCTGAAAAGAATTCCCACTTGGCTGCTAATTAAAAGGAAGCTTCTATGTTTTTCCAGGATAATATCACTCACCAGCACTTTCAACCTAGCTCCAGGCCTTGCTCTTCTAGGCAAGAAGTCATACGAATATAAAGAGATGAAAGGTGGCTGTAACCATAACTATACAATCTTGTGATCAGCTGACCCCGAAGAGGTAGCGCAGCCAACTCCCCTCGAGTATTCTACCTTCTGCCCAATTACTCTTAACTCTATTATTATTGAGCAATTCTTCCTTTTTAGGAAGGTGAAATACGTCACTCCTCTGTCGGTAAGGACAACAAAAGAAGGTGCAATCTCTCGTTGTAAAAACAACTCCTTGCATTTCATTTTCCATAACCAGTACAAGTTACAAGAAACTTCTGGCAATTAACTTGGTTTTAGTGTCATGAAAGAACTACTAGACCAAGGGAAGAGTATATAACAGAGAATATGACTGAGGATATTAGATCCTTGGTAACAACAGCACTACACCTTTTTATAAGTTAAACTCCATGTACTATCCTGCACAACAATGAAGTTTTCTAGTAGCTCACTATGAATAAAGGAAATGGATTCTGGTCCAAACACATTCCTCGACATGCTACCAATCATTATGTGCAACCTTTTAAAACATAAGGTCCTGATTCTAATCAGTTTGCTTTGCTTTTTACCATACTTGAGAACTTTGGTGGATTTACTCGCAAACTGCAGGCATCTGTGGGATCAGAAGAGATCAGTGTGTGCTGAGTCTGTTAGAAAAGACCAGTGAAACACTGGGTGCTGTTAATATTCCATTAAACATCCAATTCCCAGTTTCATTTAAATGTATATAAAAGGCAATTGAGATGCCAATCCACAGCACAATCCTTACATCTGCTTCTTTACTTTTTACTCTTCTTTACATTTTACTTTTCTTTTCTGTCCTTTTTAACAGCCATATCTTGCACTAGGAAAAAAAAACTTATTTTAAAAATCTCAAATGAGTGAGGAATAAAACCAACAAGCCAACTTACACTGAATACTTCACCTTGTAGACTACTCCATCTCCTGTGCCATCAGGTGCTGACCAGTGTAGGACATTCTTCATGTTTATAGATTCAAAATGGACATTCCTAGGGTTAGGCAAAGAACAATACAATTCTCCTGGGGGGAAAAAAAAAGTGATAAACATTAAGAATCAGCAAATACATATGCTTCCATGCAAGGAAAAATATACTTATTTTAAGCATGCAATAAAATACTAAATGCTGCCTCTCCCAGAGCAAAGAGCGTAATGTTGTTGTCCATGGAAATTCAGTTAGTTCAAAACAATGTCCCTAGCTAGTTCAGTCCTAAAATGACTTTTTTGTCTCTAGCAAAACCAGCTTTTTTATGTGAGGGATATTTTCATAGAACTATCTAAAGCTAAAACTAGGTAAGTTCAGTCTAAAAATAAGAAAAATACACAAAAAACCAGAATAACTGGGTATCTGCACAATTTAAGACTCTAAAGCATACAACATCCTTGATGCTTCTCTAGAATTCCTGCTGCATTTGAGTGCCCATTACTGTACATTAAATGAACATTGTTTATGAACGTGTTTAAAATGAAATTTATGAACGTGTTTAAAATGAACGTGTTTAAAAAGACACGTGAAGTCTAGTTCAAGCACAGTTCTATCAGAAGAGGCAAAATTTCACATTGGCAGATCTCACCAGATGATCACAATAACCCTAAAATAATCCATCATCTAAATTTATTTTTCAGAAAGCCACAATCAAATACCTGCTCTTAGGCCACTCACCAGAATTATTGTTCAGTGCACCAACCTTTAAAAAATAAGCAAACACGTCTGGGGTCGAAGAAGCCAGTTACATGTGTCATTAATCCACACATTCAATATTACAAATTAATTGGAGATGTTCACGTGGCAAAATGCCATAATGGAGGCCCCTGGGCGCAGGGCCATAATCCCAAACTGCAAATTCTCTACTCCRTCCCCAGCACCTCCTGCCATGAAGACGATGCTGATGAGAATTGGCAGTGCTTAGTAGCTCCAAGACTCAGTCCTGAAAGAGCCACTGGTCTGAAAAAGCTCCTCGTGAATGGCCATGAGAGAAGGCAGGAGGGGGAAGCGAGCAAGCGGATCTGTGGTCTTTCAGGACGTTTCAAAACCCTTTTAGCTCTTCCTCCAGGGATGCAATACTAGTTCTGCTTTAAGAAAATCTAAAGAAAAAGGAAGAGGGAAATAAAACATATTACAAGGAACAGTAGGAACTCATTGGAAAGAATGCTCCTTGACCTTTGTTACTTCCTTAAGCAGTCCTTAAGATTTTAATATCATATTTCACTATTAAAGGGTTTGTTCTCCTATATTGTTAGGTAATATATCATTGCTTCTGTAAGTAAAATAACCTACTGTCCTGATGAACTTGCTGACTTCTAGAAATCTTTGAACCACACAGTGAAAGTCTGTAAGGACCAACTTCTTGAAACAGTTTTGTGGAAATTGTGGGATTTTCAAACCTCTATACATATATTAACATTCAAAAACTCTGGTATATGTCTGTATCTGTAACTTTTTATCATTAAACTGCATAGGGAGATGTATTTTTAGGACTTAGCTCTTCTTCATTACTTTTCAGTTTTTTTTTCCTATTTTTCTATTTTTTTTTTCTCTATTTGGAAAACAATTCAAATCAGACATAGTCCTTAAGGCAAATTTACTTATTTCCAGAGAGTACGTAGCAAGTCCTGTTTCCTTCACTGTTTGGACATAGAGAGATGGAGTGGCGGTCACCTTGCAGGGGCTAAAACCATAGGCTCAGTTATTAAATTATAATGTTGAAAAGTGGCAAGATACATTCAGTAAAGCAGAGAAGTGTCTAAAGCATTGATGTACATGCCATTAAGAACTTACGGACTGCAAAAAATCCATGCATCAAACTTCACTTTTGGCACTGTACTGTACCCTTGCACTGAAGTGTYGGAGGCTACAGAATATCCATCACCTACATGACTTATAACCAGGAAGGAGAGATAAAAAAAAAAAATAGAAATAACCACAATCCAGTTCAAGCCCTTAAAAAGGCAACCGGGCAATCAGTGAGACACAAAGGAACTTTGTTGCAGTGCCCAAATGAGAGGAAATACAACACAGGTATTTCCTCAAATTGCTGCGAGTCAAAGCCCTGAAAGGCTCCTCAACAGAACACCATGAGAAAAAACTCAAAAGCCTGACAAGAAAAAGAGATAAGTAAGCAAAAGAGTCCATAGCAAAATGCAGTAAATAGTGAAAGGTCCAAAACCTTTAGAAGAAAGATTAAAAAGAAAAAAGAAAAAAAAAAAAGACAACTTCTTAAGGTCACTTTTGCCCCCACTTTGATAGGGCTTCTTAGACTAACATGGATACCTGCCTTTAAACTATCTAGAAATCTATTTGCAGGGGACACTGCTTAGAYAGAGCAGAGCTAAAAGTCACAGAATCACAGGATGGTTGAGGTTGGAAGGGACCTCTAGAAGTCATCTAGTTCAACCCCCATGCTCCAGCAGGGACACCCAGCACACGGGGCACAGGGTGGCATCCAGTTCTGAAGTTCTTCCTCACATGGAGAAGAATTTTTGTGTTTCACCTTGTACCCATTACCCCTTGTCCTATCACTGGACACCACAAAGAAGAGTTTGACTCCATCCTCCCTACATTCTCCACTCTGGCATTTGTACATATTCATTAGATCTCCTTTCAGTCTTCTCTTCTCCAGGCTAAACAGGCCCAGCTCACTCCGTCTTTCCTCGTAAGATAGATCCAGTCCCTTCATCAGCTTTTGTCGCTCTGTGCTTGGACCCTCCCTAGAAGCKYCACGTCCCTCYTATACTGGGGWGCCCAGAACTGMACACAGTACTCCAGGTGCGGCCTCACCAGAGCTGAGTTGAGGGGCAGGATCCTCTCTCTCGACCTGCTGGCAACACTCCTCCTGATGCAGCCGGGATCCCATTGGCCTTCTTGGCCATGAGGGCACACTGCTGACTCATGGKTAACTTGGTGTCAACCAGGACTCCCAGGTCCCTCTCTGTGGAGCTGCTCTTCAGCAGGTCAACCCCTAATCTGCTCTGGTATCTGAGGTTATTCTTCCTTCCTTCCAGGTGCAGGACCCTGCACTTTTCCTTGTTGAATTTCAGGAGGTTCTCTCTGCCCAGCTCTCCAACTTGTCTAGGTCCCTCTGGATGGCAGCACAACCCTTTGGAGTGTCAGCCACACTTGGTATCATCTGCCARCTTGCTCAGGGTGCCCTCGTCCAAGTCATTGATGAACAAGTTGAACAGCACTGGGCCCAGTACTGACCCCTGGGGGACACCACTGGCCACAGGCCTCCAACTGGACTCAGCACCATTTAGCACCATCCTCTGRGSTCTGCCATCCAGCCAGTTCTCAMTCCACCTCAATTTCAAGTTCTCAATCCACCTCACTTTCCACTCATCCAACCCACACTTCTGGAGCTTTCCTATGAGGATATTATGGGAGATGGTGTCAAAAGTCTTGCTGAAGTCAAGGTAGACAAGGTAGACCATCATCCCATCACACAAGACTACCAGGTTGGTCAAGCATGACTTCCCCTTGAATCCATGCTGACTACTCCTGATCACCTTATTTTCCTTGTCATGCCTAGAGATGCTCTCTAAGATGAGCTGCTCCATCACCTTTCCAGGGACAGATGTGAGGCTGACTGRCCTGTAATTTCCCAGCTCCTCTCTCTTCCCTTTCTGAAGACTGGAGTAACRTTGGTTTCTTACAGTCYTCTGGCACCTCCCCTGCTCTYCAGGACCTTGAAAATGATGGAGAGCCGCTGAGCAACAACCCCYGCCACTTCCCTYAGCACTCTTGGGTGCATCCCATCAGGGTCCATACATTTATGGGTGGCCAGTCTGCCTAAATAATCCCTAACTCAATCCTCCTCAACYAGYGGAAAGTTTTCCTCTTCCTGGTTCTCCCTCTYGTGTCTGGGCTCTGTAGTTCATGGTGACCAGCCTTAGCAGTAAAGAAGATGTTCAGTAATTCTGCCTTCTCTACATCCTTTGCCACCAAGGCACCYTCCCCATTCAGCAGCAGACCAATGTTTTCCCTAGTCTTCCTCTTGCTGCTGATGTATTTATAGAAGCCCTTCCTGTTGTCTCCGACATCTCTTGCTAGCTTTCATTCCAGACAGACATTGGCCTTCCTCATTGCATCCCTGCATTCTCTGACAATGTTCCTATATTCTTCCCATATATAAGGACAAAAATATCCTTAACAAGTCAATTTTCAGACTTTTATCTTCACATCTTATCTTAAAAAGAGTTTTTTTAAACTCGTACTGCTTATCAGGCTGATGTACAGTCACTGAATTGAACTAGACGGAAGCAGTGAACTCATCAGACGAGGGAAATTACCTTCCCGATTTTCTGAATATTTTTCTTTGCCTGTACCTTTTGACATTTGTCCTTCCCTGCATGAACACATTTGTATTTCTTGAGCAAAACTGCAAGCCTCTTTAACGTAGAAGTATTTATGTACAGGAGATATGTCTTTATTATATTTTAATATTTTTAAACTAGCATATACAGTTTTTTTTTTTTTTTAAACGCCCTTCCCATTCTGTGGTTTTTGATGTGGTAAACGAAGTTTCAAAACAGAAACATTGACTACAGCAGATGAGCCAATCTCAGCRAACAAAACCCACAGAACCATATCTTTTCAAGATCTAAAGCATTACAACACTGCGTTTGCTCCTATCTGCCCCAAGTTCTGTGTGACTTGGAAGACAGAGAGACTGAGACTATCAATTTTCCATTAGCTTTAAGAGCAGAGTCTTGGTTCCTGCTTTTTGGTCTTGTCCATTTAGTAACCATTTCTTTTTGTCCTTTGAACAAACCATAGAATTCTTTTAATTCTTCAAAAATTCATATGTAAAACAGGATCCACCACAACCCACTATTTCTGCAAGAGTTAATGTCTATATAATGCTCAACAGTATCTGGAGTCATGCACAGAAAATAAACTTAAATGTAGCAGGTATGTTCCAGGGTCACCAATTAGTGATCCAGTAGGTGCGCTTGCTTGCTGACGTCAGTATCTTGTCCTTTAACACAATATATCCAATCTCATTCTGATTTGATTTCCCTCCAATAACCAGAATTAATGCCATGGATGGGATAG